CGGACCGGAGAGTGAATTTCGATTTGGCGTCTCAAGTTCCCTCCATACTCAAACTCTCATTCTCTTCGGCGATCAAGTGTGGCAGGGGAGCTCTCGAGCTGGTTTCGCGATTCACGATGCGAGGGAAATTTCTTTGATCTTCGGCGCAAAAATGCTCGCTGTCCCCTCGCAGAACTGCGGAAGACCGGTCCGAGAAGAAGAAATCTGCTCACAGAGAAGCTGGAGAGCGGGAATGTTCGGGCATTCCATGTCGACCACATAAGACAGCTTAGCTCAAAATTTCTGTATTTCCTCCTCTTCGGTATACCGAGGAGATTTCGACGCGCGCACCGAGAATCAGGGAATGAGTTTTGCCGCTTCCTTCGGTAATTTTCTTCTCCAAATCGAGACGACGAGATCTCGGCCTGAAATGCCGACTCATCTCGATGAGTTGGGAGTGGGGAGCCGTACCCGCTTGGAAATTCAATGACCACCACAAAGATCCATTCGGTCAACGGATGAGCGAGCTCTTCTCGTGTGCACAGCTCCTTCCCTTTTTTAATCCGCGGTTCGGATGTGGCTGGGCTGATAGCTCGCCGCCCGCCGTGAGCCATCCCGCTTGCCATATGGTCAGCGTCTGTATTCTGTGCATGCACAAGGAGATGGTAGTCACGTGAGAATCGGTTCGTCCAACACTGAGTAAGGTAGAACCATGTGCCTGCCGGATGTTTCTGTTACACCGAACGGCTGGAGATCAAAACAAAAGCAACGTCATTCATTCCCTTCTTCTACTCACAAGCGAGTTCATTCTCGATCGCTCGGGTGTCAGGACACTCCTGCTCAGGATCCGTTTAGAATCTCGATTTCCCAGCGAAATCATTGGTTATAATTTCTCGATGATAATTATTATCGAGAGTCGAGTCCGAAGCGGAGCAGGTTGGAATCGGTGTGGTGTACGGGGGGGCGTTGAATGAGCAATATCTATGCATTGATCCTAGGAACAAGAGGAGCTCCTCGGTGGGAACCCGTGGAGTTCATCAGCAGGAGACGGACTTCAGGATTCGCGGACTTTCCTGCTTCACAGCGAAGAGCTCTCGCAGGCTCTAGGACTTTCGAATTGAACCGAAACCGGCATCGGGTCGGTGAAAAAGTACCGGTCTTCCGGGAAGGTCTTGTTTGGGCTCGGAATCCGAGCTCAGTGTTATGCAGCGCTTCTCGGTTCCCGGACTGACTGATCGACTGACTGAATGTGCGGTCGGCTATCTGGAAAAAGAAAGAGCGACACACGCACAAACACAAACTAGCAAAATGAATGGCTGCGGCGTCCGTCCGTTCGCCGACTAGCTTGCTGTCTTTTTGAAAAGCATCACAGAAACGGCGCTCGGCGTAGCGCGTTCCTCATCTGGCCCCGTTGTCTCCCGGTGGTTGCGGCTGCTGGCAATGAACTTTATCATCTCAAGAGCAGTTGTTCGCTTCTCCAAACATGCGGCATCGACATGGAAACGCTGTATGGAGTGCGTTCAGAGCGTGTCCACTTGTGGCAGATTGTCTTTACAATCAGGAGCGTGCGGGGCTCTCACTCGGTTGAGATAGATTCCTTCCGCACCTTGCGAAACTCGGTCGGGTAAACTCATTCGTTTTGTCTCGAAAGGAGTTCACACATGAGAGCAGAAAACAGCGGCGAAGTATATCAAGCGCGGAAACCGCTAAGAATCATTGACACTTACATCATCCTCGTCGTCCTCTACGTCGATCCCGGCGTCGGACTCCGGTTTCCGCGCACTCGGAGTCTTCACCTCCTGGCTAGGTGTGCTGGACATCTCTGGTTTCTCCAGTCACCGATGATAGTGAAGGAGATGAGTTGACAGATGATGAGATTTATCCTTAGAGATCACTCAATGCCAAAGTCAGCTGGAGCAACAGGTCGACGGAAAATATGATTCGAGAATCGCACTCCAAAAATCCAAATTGGTTATGTCACTGGAGGATTTTGCTTTATCAGGAAACTCTTTCCGATTGTCGGAGAGTCTCTATCTGGACAATTTTCCGCTGACTTCAAAATTTTGAACGATCTGTCGATTTTGACGGCTGTCACGCACTGCCTTCACGCAAGATCTTTCCCAAGAAAAGACATGCAGAGGCTCTAAATGAGTTGATGAATGATTGGAAGATCCGAATGACACATTTACATACGAATGGAGGAGGTCATCCTGGTACTCATTCATTCATAATGACTGTACAAAGTTCGAACGAACTCTTGAAGTTCCGATCTCCAGCACACCCAGAAACCACTATCACTGCCGCCAGCACGACACGGGGAGGAGGGACACCACACAGTAGAGACCCGCCGGAGTGAGCGGCTGATCGGTCGTCGCGCCAAGAGGAAAGGAGGTTTTTGAATTGAGAGAGGGAAAATGATATTTGTGATCGCTGCTCTATGGGGGAGGGTGAGACGGGGCGGTTCCTCACTTGGGTTGGGCCCCGAATGATGGCGCTCATTTCGAATTCACGTCGCAAGCGTCATTTCCAGATCACTCTTGACGGAATCCCTTCTGCCGCATCATCAGACATGGCTGCTGAACGGGGATCCCCGAGGCAATTCTTCTTAGTCTCCAAACTTATGCCCTCCCTCGAGCTCCTTCGAAGGCGGCCTACGGGTTCCGGGACGAGGGAATCTCTCACCGAAGCGCGGACTTGGACCTGGGGAGCGGCAAAACTTGAACCCAGAAGCCCGTCGAGCTGCTGGGGAAAGATCGATGGTGTGGACTCTAACCGGAGCCGGGTGGTCGGAGGACGTCAATGGGTCAACCAGTCGCGACTCCCGGATCGCCGGTGAAGAGTGAGCGAAACCGATACTCGAGGAATATTCCTACCTCGCGCTCGAGTATCATCAAACACGTGAAGAATCAAGCTTCAGAGTGAACCCTTGTCATTGCTCGGACCTTGGGCCTCCATGGCGGGAGTTCCTTGGATCCGCGAATCTGATGCTGCGGTTCCTCTGGTCGGGAAGTTCGGGAATTTGAACTTCGCGGAAGAGAAAATATGCCGAAGGCATGAGAATATTTAGATTCGGAGAAACAAGCATGTTGTCCCGCAGCTCGAAGTTTTCTCCCTCAAGCTAACGCCGCGAAGGTTTCCTCATCGCCGAAGCTCTGTACGTAGCGCTACAATCGAGCTACAGCTACATACACGGTCGACGAGTCTCTTGCGGAACAGAAGTTAGACTTCTTCGAAGGCCGTGAATCACGCTCTCTGCTCTCATATTTCGTTACTGTACAAGGAGTGAGGAACCCAGGTCTGCATTCGACTTATTTACACACATTCTCCTTTATTTTGGCTTAAATTATTATTACAGACAATATATGATGAAGTCTCGATTCCGCTCATGCGTTTTTCTCTTTTCCGTGTCTCTCCTTTACGTATAGCACTCTACAAAGGGAAAGGATCTCGAAAGCGTGGCAGGCTCTGTGTCTGTACTTATATCTAGCGGCGTTTCAGCCTAAAGCTCAAGGGTGTCGGCCCGAAGTCAGATCGTCAATTTCCTTCATTTTTTTTCGAGTTGGTCTGAATTCCCAATCTCTCCGCATTCGCCACTCGCTGCTCAGCTTTCGCTGTTCCTTCGTCTCCCATTTGTAGCACTTTCACTTTTTATCATTCTCTCTAGTGGTAGGTACCGTACCACTGGCTAATATGTACATAGTCTACAGTAACAAAAATATCAAGCGGCGTCGAAGCCGCCTAAATAGGCATAAGGTCAGTCGCAGTATCTACGAAGACTATTGCCCGATTAAGAATTAAGAGAAAAAGAGAATAGCAATCAGGAGAGAAAGCTGGAGGTAAATAGCCGAGTTGTCGCAGAGAGTCGTCTTCGAGGAAAAACTTTGACAAGGCAAGCTCTAAGACACGGATTTGTTCCTCTTGACAACGAACACTCTCAGCTCGGAGCAAATTTGATATGCAACCAAAGATTGAGTCCCGGCTTTCATCGAGGTCCACGGGTAGAATGATAATAATAATCCTCCGGGGAGAACCCGCGAGTGTTCTGTCTTCTGACCTTACTTCGGGTTAGTCAGGGCCTTCAGACACTTTCGAAATTCCAATGCCTCTGATCACTTCAGATTGAACAGGTGCAGTAGTGTCTCGCCCCGAGCACCTCCGAATCCACAGATTGGTTCTTGTCAAGGTGCACTCCGTTGGAAGGGACGACGGGTATTGATGTCATCGAGGAAAAATACACGAGGGAAGATTTGAAGGGGAAAGTTCGAAAAGGAAGTAGTGAAGGGAGGTATGAGGAGTTTGGATGGAAAAGGATAGGGTCAACAATATCTCTTCGTTATTGAAATAACAACAGACTCGCATCTGGGTGCGTGTCCACATCATCGCGAATGACTATCATCATCGACGTCAGTATTCCCAGCCCATACACTATCTAGGGTCGTGTCATCCGCGACACAAACAAAGCGCACAAACAATGCGACATTCAGCCCGGAATCATAGGCTACCCGCAGAAGGACAGATTCCATTCTCTCTCCACGGAACGCTTTTGGACGTTCACACTCATCTCGAATGGCGATAGAATTCGGACAATTGAAACCGCGCTCCCCTGATCGCATAGAAGTGATTCTCGCGACGGAAATTTTCGACGCCCGTCCTTCAATCGAGATGGGTCCGAAGTGATTATCATCTTCCTTGTCGCGATGAGGTAGTTCGAGTCCCCCAGGAGATTTGGGAGAATAGTTTCTAGATTGTGGCTGTCGTCGATGGCACGGTTCGGAGCGGGACGATATACTTCCTGAGCTTTGGTCTCTGATCCGTCATGGCCAATCTGAATGTCAAGACAGCGACAAAAATCCACCACAAGCTAGAAATCGCCATCGATAATTTGAATCAAGATTCATGACCTCCTGGAATTTCGACACAACTGGTCGCGCGAAAAAGTTTTGGAGAATGTTTCAAAGAAATTGTGGGTTTCCGGAAAGGAGCGAAAATTCACTTCATGTAGTCGCTCTGATGTCACGATTGGGAACGGGTACTTGAGTCTTTCTCCCACTATGTACAAACTGGTCCTGACACGAAACAAAAGACAAGGTACAAAGCTTACTCAATACTGACGTCCATCCACTGCTCTTAGTCGTCACTTGTCCCTTCACGATAAATTAGTATCAACCGCAAGACGCTCCGATTCTCAAAATCTCTATCTATAGTTCACTATTCGATGTCTACATAATCTACAAGGGATCTATCGTGAAGCGCGCCACCAAGATTGTCAGCAGTGACAACCAAAACGACACACATCGGAGACCTTGCGAGCTGCTAGCTTCCGCCACAGTTCCTGGCTTGGGTTTCTTTGCTTTAGTACGATTTCGTCTCCTGCCACCAGGCCTAGCAGAAGAGCTCGGTACTTTAGTGGACGATGCAGGAACTGCGGGCGACGGTGGCTGCGTCGTGAAGTAGAGATCTTCCTGTACCGACGGAACTTGCGTGGTTGATGTTGAGGGTGGCAGATGAGCCGGCGGCATGCGTCTGCAAAGGTCGGTCGGTCAGCACGGGGATCAATAGGATAGGCGGAATAGGCGAAACTCCATCCTTTCGAATAGTCAGAATGAAAAAATAATCGAATTGAAATTAAAAGTGCCAAAGGATTATTCGTTCCAGACTCATAGGTCTTCAGAACGAAGAGGATACTTACTCTTCATCGTCATCGCCTCCTTCAGCGTCCGGATCAATCGGAGCCTCTTTGTCTCCGGAACTGATGCTTCCGCTACCTTCAAAATCCCCGCTGCCGTCGAGGCGAGGTTGCGAATCGCTACCGCCGTCGTCGTCGTGAGCGGACGACTCCCCCGACTTGCCATCATAGGCTTGCTGTAGTTTCTTGATAATAATATCCAACATAGCAACCTGTCGCCTTATCAGCATCCTCTGAGCCTTCCCCGGCTTGGACGCTCTCAGCCGAACGTCGGTGACGTTGGCACTCCCCACCCGGGTCTTCTCGGACCCGTTCCAACACTCTGCGTCTGAAACGGAGGAGAAACCGTCAGGCTCCCGTTCAGGCACTCTGAAATGCAATCGTCACGTCCATTGAAGACCTCGAAGGATCGTCGCCGATGTGAAGAGCGCCGTACCTGCGTTATCGGGGCTCATCTCTGACTTCTCAGGATTGCAGATTCTCTGCGGGAGGTTGGTGAAGAACGATTTCATCGCTGTGAGCTGTTTCTTCGCGGATTCGATGTGTCGCTCCAGCCCGTTGTTGTCTTTCTTCTTGCCTCGTCCCGAGTCGCTTCGTCTTCCATGTGGTGCAGCAGCAGAATTTTTCCGAGTAACTCGTGACGAACTGTTCGAAGCCCACGTGTTACCCATGGCGCTCCGCCGATCTCTGCGATGACTCGAAAATCCTGAGTTGGACATCGAAGGCTTGTTCGTGCGAAACTCGGGGTGTCCGCACTTCTTGTAGATCTGGAAGAGGAGGCCGGAGATTGATGGAACCCTCAAAATGAGTTATGGGCAATGGGGGAAGCACGAGTTCATCGTTATTAGCTCACCTTCTCCATGGAGTCTTCGTGTGACTCCTGGAAGTTCATGATGGCCTCGGAGATTTTGAGATCAATCGGTTCGACAACCTCTTCGATGTTGAATTGTTTCTCCATTCGGGACGCGAGGTTGAGCATCGTATCAATGAACTTCGTCCAGAGTACGTTGACCTTGCTCACGTCTTGAAGGCAGTCCCCCACAATCGCTTCACAGTACGCGGGGCAGGGCTTCACATCAGGGAAGCCGTTACACTGAGGACAGACATGCATCTTCGACATTGCTTGCACGCACGCGCTCGACGGTTCCAGGTGGTCTTGCAGTGCCTGGGAATTGATGATACATCGATTATTCAACAGACTTCGGGCGTGCCCAGCATTGGGGAGGATGTCCTGAGTGACAAATGGCTATAATCCAATTTTTCAACTCACTGCAAGGATATCTTTGCCGACTCCTAGAGCCTGAACGAAGACCCTCGTAGCATAGAAGCTCCGGGTTATCTGTTGATTCAGTTTGTCTGGAACCTCTTTGAATGGTTGAATTTCCTTCATCGTCCCCTTCACGCAGCTCAAATATGATCCAGTTATCGTGTATTGCGAGTTCAACACCTGGAATCGTTGAAAAATCAGATTACCGAAGCTCCGCACTCCAATAACTCGTCTCGGGCTCGAATTTCTGACCGAGCCCTAGAAATTCAAACGGGCGCTTTTCTGGAAATGCAGGATGAATCAGGATTTCCCTCCGCATTCCCATGAGCTCGTTTTAGTCCTCCAGCGATTCGCTGGCCTTTCTTCCCCATCTCCACAAGGTTGCGAGGAACACCGTTTTTGTCTCCCGTATGCGGGGAACCAGCACAAGCAAGACTAGCGTAAAACTCATATTGGGAACGGCTGTAAAGTTTAACTGCTCCGACTTAGGGTGTGGGGATCCCAGCGAAGCACTCCTACGTGCCTTGTTCGACGTTCGTTCAACTTGCTGAAAACGGCGAAACTCGCACCGCATAAATTTTCATGCTTGGGAAGAGAGCAGGCCGATAGGGAAGAACGCGATGTCATTGGATTCTCCAAAGCGGAGATATTATGAACTCAAGCCCATGAATGAGCTAGATCGCTGTTGGTTTGCGACGAGAAAAAACGGTCGCACGACACGACAGAGTCAGCCTCGACCTGAATAAGGTTCGGAAGCTTCTTAGAAGAACATTGTAGCGAATTGCTGCAAACGCTACCCGCCCCGCGACGAACCTCCTTTTCGATCCACTACCCTAACGCCCAAATTCGGCTATCAGTCTCAACACGGCCAGCGAAATCTGGAACATATCGTATCCTCCCAGCGCGAGGCTCGTCTCGCCGGGATCGCCGATTCCTTTAACTGTACGAAGTGGTGGGGCACGTTCCGACGCGTTCATTTTCACCGGTAGCCCACGAGCTGAGACGGCTCGGTCCGCAGTTGAGGCTAGGAAATCTTCCCTCACAATCAGCGCGATTCGCGCTCTCTGTCGATTCTCGGAGAGTCCGGCCGCGAGATCGTCGAGAGCAAGTCTTCCGGAGCTGCTCCCGTCTGGTTCTTGGTTTTTATCAGGCGGACCAGCAGAGCCTCCGCCCACCGGTGGCAGAGCCATGCAATACCGAGGTATTCTTGAATCTCTCAAGCTACGAGGGATTTGAGTCAGGGAATCTGAGGCAGCCCAGAGATGGACGGGAACGCGCTCCGGACTTTCAGCTCGAGAGCTGAGTCGGATTTCAAGGTAAATTCCTCCGCTCAACTCCTGTACTCTCACTTTGTGTAAACAGTCCGAAAGGCTGCGATGAGATCGTTCCCCGACAGAGGTTCATCTGTCTCCGCGCCGCAGACGTGCGCGCATCTCGAAAAACTTCAGTTCGTCGCAATCGTATGCGAAGATAGCAATAATGGCGAGGGCATTCCGCGACTCCCGGACGGTCGATCCTGCAGGGTCTCGACTGCTGCCCGTGCTCGGACCCCCTAGGTAGGCGATCGGAGCTGGAGCTCCAGAGTGAAAAGAGAGACGAACAGATAGAAAAAACTCACCTGGAACATTCTTTGGTAGAGCTCAACGAAAAAGTCGTCCATTTTTTCTCCAAGATCTATTCCACCTTGAGTGTAGAACGTCTCGAGCTGGTGAAACATGCCTCTGAAGAGGTCTGTGTTCTGCTCATACTGGATTCCGTATGTTTTCCGGAACATTTCATTGAAGTCTTCCTGGGACTTACGGATGAGTCGCTGTGGTTCGAGGGAGATGTAAAGTTAGAGAAGAGATATCCCGGAGTCGGGCAGCCACCCATACTTTGGAATTGATTTCAAAGTTCTCGTCGGGGAGAGGAATGCCGAGTGTTTCATGCAAAACTACAACAGTTTCGGAAGGGAACTCACCTGGAAGTACTCATCGAACCTCATCGTTCGGGTGCCCATCTTCTGCTTCGACCGCCCGAACTCGTTTTTGAGCGCCTCGGAGAACGCAGATTTCGTCTCCTGAGCGAGTGATTTTTCCATTTGCGGTGTGCAGCAAGTGGATACCGAGCTGCAGATACGTAACCCTTCTCCTGCAAATAGAGAGATAAGCTCGTTAGCGAAGGATCGAGTTGAACTTTCCGAAACCACTATCACGCTGAATCGACAACACGGCAGAAGCTTCCGAGTACCGAACTTCTGGGGCTCAATTCGGCCGGCCGCAAAAGGGAACTTCTGCGTCCAGATCGAACTGTAGAAATAGGTAGGAAGGAGGTTTCCCGCAATCCTTGCGTGTGTGCTCGCCGCCCCCCTCCTCTCAATCTCCCGGGACGTCTCGCGACAAGGTGTCCAGGTTGCTTGAGACAGTTTCCCCGGAGGTGGTAAAAAATTCATCCGCGCCCTTGGAATTTCATTAACGTCACGAGCAACCATTTTTGGAGCAGGGTAAATATTTGAACAGTCGCTCTCGCTTGTCTTCCACGACAATGACGACGATCCGACACAGACCGCTTTAATCTACTCTTAGGTTCATGCCTCGAAGCGCTCTCGGAACGGCAAAACGATCACTCGAGGCGGAGTTCTGATCTACACGGTCCGCTTCGATTCCCTAATGGGCACCCATGGAGCACTCAGAAATCCAAAGGGCTGCCCAGAAGATATCCCAATGCCTTCCCGTGCATCTAGAGAGCATAGCGCAGCGAGCACGTACTGTCCCAGATTCTGCAGGGCTAACCCAAAAATGAAAGGATCGCTGCAGATCCAGATTTGCGAAGAGTTGGGTGCTTCGGTCTCCAGTGTCAAACGGGCGCAGAGGGGTGTTCCGAATCTCCATCCTGCGTCCTTTCTTCGTCTCTTGGCGAGTCCGACAGCGGAGGGATCAGTAGCGGCGGGATAAAACGGGTCGCAGTCGGAGTCAAGAAGGATCATGCGCTTCCCGCGGAGGTCATCGGTCTCCGTCCCGACTGACCCGAGCTTGCGATTCGTTGATGTCCTTTCCGAATACGATGTTCACTTAAGTCTGCTTGTCTATTTTCCGTTTCCCGCCCAACCCCGGCCATAATTATTATTAGGCGTCAAACGAGCATCGTGATCTGGGGTTCGAGTCATGCGGTTATGCTCGGACGTTGATCATTGCTCGGACACGGCTATGTGTACGTGAGATGTTTGCTCATCGACGGTTCCCACAAAGTTCCTCCGAACTGTCGAGGCCCGTATTGTTTTGTAACCCTTAGCGAGAACAAAGGAAATCTCGGGTAGCACTCGAACGATAGGCGCTCATTTTGTCACAGCTTGCTCACCGCAATCTCCAACGACATCAATAACGTCAATAACATTGACCGCAAAAAGAAAATCTGACGGTGGTGGCGGTCTGGGAATCGTGTTCTCAGGAGGGGAGGAACCGAGCACCGCTCTGCGTACTCGGTCAGGTGTCGAAAATTTCGGAACAGTATCTCCTTCGGATCGATCTCGACCACGACAATAGAATCGGAAGTGACTAGACGTAAGTTACATACATACAGAACGTCGGAACTCTTGAATGGACGCAGGATGATTATAGAATCAGTCCTGCAGCGAACATGCGTTTTTGAATCCGCTCAGACAATGTCGAGATACCGCGGAGTCTGCGAGCAAAGCGTTGCGATTTTGATTCCCGATTATGGCCCTTCTCATCCGATTGAAATCTCGGAGGTAACAGTCGACAATTCAGTGAAAACTCATTTTCGAATTGCTTTTCTGAAAGGCATCATTCTTTCGAGATGAAGGGAAGATGAGAGAATCATTTCCTTTCGGAGAGAAAAACAAAGCGACCAGCGCCATTTGTGACAGACACAATCGCAAGGAGAACAACGGTTCTCGGGCAACGAGCGCGAACAATAAGCAGGATTCGAACAAACTGTCAGACAATCCCCGCGCCGCCATTCCTGTCCAGGGAATTCTTTTTGCAATCAATAAGAAAAGAACATTCGAAGACCTCTCGGCTACACTCGGTTCTGCTGCATCCACCTAAACGGCTGTCCATCTGACAGACTGACTAATCTTCAATTTTTATATCCGCTCGCTGCTCAATGCGCGTCTACCTCGACAAGTCCATTGTGCAGCTGAAGCCATCTCAGTTATCTGTCGAAAGTTCTGACGCGCGTTAAGTTTTGCTAGTTCTGAGAAATCAATTCGAGCGAACAGAAAAACTCCACTCCCGTACCGAGCGACTTGGCCTCAAACGGACATAGACTCGTTGCGCAGTTTTTCCGTAGCTGTCCAAATCGTTTACATTTCATAAGAAAGGTTCGCTATGCCTGAACCGAGTGTCCATGCATTCGACTCCTCGGATGACTCACCGTCTGATTGACTGGCTTACTGATTGATTATTCGATTGGATAATTGATTGATTGACTGCCCGTCTACGTAAAACTTGTGGGATCGTGGTAGCGAAGTAGGAACTGTGAGAGGAATCAGAGTGACTGTTCCAACCTAACTCGGAGGAGTCACCCGTTTTTGAACCCATTGAGAAGCGAATATCCCGCTACAGGAGGATAAATCCGTCGCAATTTTGACGGCAATGCTCGATTCCCAGTATTGTCTTCACGGAAGGTGTTGCAGCTTACTTATGGGAATGAGTCCGCAGGCCAGCAACTCCTGTCGGTGCCGCGGACAATCTCGGTTTTATGATCCTCGGAAGGATTCGCAGTTCCGACAACGGATGGCGATCTGGTGTGCTCCCCGAATCCGCCCTGCTCTGGATCAGTCGTCGCGGATTCGCGTCGACCGCTCGCAGTAGAATTTTTCCGTCGAATCAGACGTACCAGTAGGCGACCATTCATTCGGACCTCTCATTCTTGCGAGATCGCCGCAAAAACTTACGTGACCGAACCAATCCGGTATACATTCAGGTAGCCGAGTAGGCAACGGCGCGGCGCCAGAGGAAAACGAGAGGAAATTTTTAACCCGAATCTAGTCACCCGACGGGCCAATTGAACTCTTGCCGGCACCTCACCCGGATCACACAAACGCCTTCTTCGATCACCGACAGCCAGCTAGCCGGCCGGCCGGCCGAAAGACCGACCGACCGGGGAAGTTTCTGACTCGCCTGCCGGGACCGAGGCGAGCCGAGGCGTTCGAAGCTCAACCGAGGCGTTTAAGAACAACAAGAAGAAGAAGACGACGACGAAGGAGAGAGGCCTTCTTTAGGGGTCGAAGTAGCCGCCGCGCGGTGGAAGAAATCAACACAGACGGATCCAACACGCCGCCGACCGAAAATCAAGTTGACCCAATACATTCAATCGGAAGCGCACCGCGCTCCACCGTGAGAGTCCACTCGGAGCCGCAGAGCGCGGGACGAGGCGGCGCGTCGGCAAACTGAGTCTCAAGTCACAAGCCCGGGGATCTCGAAACAAGGTTGAAGAGCTCACGTTCGACGCGAGGGACGGACTTCGAGGCCCGAACACCCCAAACCGAAGATTCGGTTCCCGCAGCCGTTTTGAACCAGGAGCATCACAGACAGACCCACCTTCAGGGACCGGCCCTAGGCTGTAAAATTTCTTGCGGTTGTCATGGTGGCGGCGATAGTCGTCGTCGTCATCATCGTCGTTTTGATAAACTAATTAGTTGCCGCATGAAGGCGACCGAATTCTTTCAGTTCGAGCCGCGGCATCAGCAATCGCTGATAAGATTGGTTTATGTCAGAGATCTGAGACCTTCTGCTGATCGAACAGCCGCCAAGGGAAGAAAACTGAGTCAGAGGGGGAAACTGCTCGAGACGAAGACTCCGAAGCAAAAATCCTTTGCTCGGCTCAATAAACTTTGACTAACAAGTTTCTTGCATTACTATCCATCGGTCGAATGGTTCACTTATCAGTAGCTGGCGCCACAGCCACTGACAGCCAACTACTACAGTCACCTGAAAGCCCGACTACCGCAGCGTCCAGGGTGCCTCGATGGCCGAGGTGACGCTCAGTTCGTCTCCGCTTGCCCTTCTAGCCGACGAGTCTGACTTCGAAGGATTCATCGACGCTTCATCGGATCGACCTTTTGGAGGAGTATGAATAGAGTATGCAATTCTGCTCGGAGACAGCCTACCGTGCCGTGAGATCGTTGACACGTAGCGAGCTACCACTCCTAGAAGAGGCGCTAATTCCGAAAACACCTTCCGTCAGATCATCATGTTCAAGCCGTCGAATTTGTCCTCATCGGACTTTGGTGCTCCCAAGACAATCGCGGAGCTATCCGATGCTCGCTTTCTCCCAGGCGTTAAGACGATGAAGCCGAGTAGGAACGGCTGCCGGTGCTTGGAATTTCTGGTTCCACCCACTCACCCACAGGTCTTCTTCATTTATGGTTTTACTGCAGTGGTTAAGCCGAAAAAACGGCGGAGGGTCACTTAAGGATGATCCCGAGCCGAGCATGCATGCTGTTTGCCTTCGTTCTGTTGTGAGTCATAAAAAAAATTGTCAGAAGAACAAAACAATCTATCCGCGCGCCGCAACCGATGAGACGAAAGACGCGCATTTCAAATCTCATTCGAAACTCATCGGGGCGTCTTTTACGTAATTGTACGGCGCGAGGCACTCAGGCCGTAGCAGAAGCGGCGGCGGCGGCACTCGCGAGGACGACGTCGATGACTTGATGCCAGGACCACCGTGAAGTGCAGGACCCTCTTCGGAGGTCCTCGTTTCGTTGTTCGATCAACGTCTTAATTTCACTCGATGCGTTGCAGTGAGTGGAGTGAGTGAGTCAGTCAGTCAGTCAGTCGGACCGCTAGCCAGGAACGCTCATCTATTTCGTATATATTTTTCTCTACAGTGGCCATCAAAGGAAAGTCTTGGCGTTTCCACGGGAGTCACCACCCAGCGCGTGGATCTTCAGCGCATTCTTCAGTAGTTCGTCCGCTTGCTGCTGCTGCAAATAACTTCAATCTACCCTCTTGATCATCGACTTCATGCTTTCCCGAGCGAAAACGCGCGTCGTCGAGATCGTCTCTTCGGTCACGCTGGATCCACCGCTTCATCGGTCGGGACGACGATCCAGACAAGTGAGAAAGACTTCGGAAAAGAAACAAGACAACATGGTGACAAAACCTCGGCAGGAGTCTACGA